GGTGACAGATGGAATGTTCCATTAAAAAAGCCCGGCTTCGCCTCGTGGAATAAAACATTCCATCTGTCACCTCATGAAATTATTCTGATCGTTGAACTCATAACCATTCATTATTTGCATACCAATTAATGGTATCATGTTTCAATCGGATATTAACCAAGGTCGCAATGTCTTCTTACAACGCAACGAACTAAAAGAAATAAGTATAAACTTTCAAGAACCGACAAATTTAAAAGCCTTACCCGGCGGTTGTAAAAGTTGGAGAAATTCTTGACCAGGATATGCTGGAGAATTTCAGGTTCATTGATGATCAGAATGGGGCGCCGAAAATCGTACGTCCTGGAGGAAGTAACAACTTCGACGTTTCAGTACGCAGTGATAATATTGACAAGTCAAAAGTTATGTTGCTGTCCGCAAACATGTACACACACGTTTTTTATGGTGTACATTGTTGCTCTTCCCTTTTCCTTTGTTTATACTCTCACTTTTTTGCAACAGCTCTCATTGGTTTTGTGCACGTTTTCTAATCGAGGTCGTCCTCGATTGTGGTTCCTGTCCTCAATTCATCGATGATGTTGCACGTGGGTGTCCTCGATTTTACACCATAACAAACGCTGCGCTATGGGACAACTAGGCAAATAAAAAGTGAGTTGATGGATACTTCCTCAACGATTTAGGCTACATCTGAGGGTTTTTAAAAAAGGAATTTCCACGAAAGCACAAACATCATCATTCCTCTCGATATATTCCAGTCGATGAATACATTGTTTGTTTTAAAATATTTTAAGTTCTTAATGAATGAAATTAAATTAATTAAATGATGTCTGTGCCATACCCAACCACCTTGCCATGCTTCCTTTCGTATTCAGCAAACGCCTTCAATATACCCTGTATAAAAGAGTTGTGGAAAAGCATTGTACGATATTAAGTGAAACTTAGTAAAAGTTTAATTTGCACGGAATTTGTTGCACATAATTTTACTCAATATGGTTCATTTAAAGAATTAAATCTAAGTCGGCACAATAAGGTGTGAAAGCTTTCGATAAACAAAACCCTGCAACATTTTAACGACAAAAAAGTGTCCCTCATTAGGTACGAATGATCGAAGAAAAATTTACCCCGGCTTTACGGAGCTTCACAATAATTTAGCTAATAAATTTTAAAAGACTAATTTTCATCTTACATGACGCAATTGCAAATTATTGCCGAAGATGGGAACATAGTCAGCTACAGGGATGCCTCGTCTCTGGAAATATTGATGACACCTCCAATCATACCTGGAATATAGAAACAAAAGACAAAGCTCTGCAAAGAGGGTATGCCAAGTCAAAATAAAACAACAAGAACATAAAACAAGGCAAAACAACAGCAAGAATATTTGAAATAAATCTGTCTAAGATCGTCGACTAAATAAACAAAGGTCATCTTCTTTACATTACGGCATCAACTTGACCACTTTCGTTCTCTCGTCAATATCAATAAGGCTAATTTTCAAAATAATTGCAAAAAATATATGTACACTTTGAAGGAGCGATTAGTTTGAATTACTGCTGCGTTAGTCTCCTGTCCCATTGCAAATGCAGCTAACATCGTCCCAACTATAGTTAGGAATTCCCATACTATATTGTTGGGACAGTTCCAAGTATAGGTGCCACCATTGCCCTAATTGGGGCGTAACAGTGACATTCATGCCAAAAACCCATCCAGACGGATTTTGGTCTGAGGAAAGGGGCAAAAAGTTGGCTATTTTTTGACACTAAAACTGGCCTCGAATTTGTTTTCCTTCAATTACAGTGTAAGAAGCGGGATATTGTGGTATTACTCCTAGTATGGCTGGGCCTATCATTTCCTTAAACATGACCAGGCAACCTCAGTAATGTTGGTCCAAGAGGGCATCAAACTCTATTCAACTTTTGATTCGGAATGCTAAAGTTCGTAGAAAGAGCTGTATAGTGGTAATATAATGGAAATGAACAATCTCTTTCTGCCGTAGGCCCTAAGCGTGGAGATTTTGACTGATTGTCATTACTGCACATCAGTGATAATTAAGATGCTCTAATTGACAGTCAGTGATTAGTAATCAGTCAAGTTCACAAGTTACATCACTGCGATATATGATAACCAGTCTAATTCACAATTTACAACCAGTTTGATTCGCAATCGATTGTCGATCAGTGAGGTAGGTAACCAGTCAAATTCAGCTTGTGGCGTAGGCCGCCAAGGGGGTATTTTACCCCCCCCCCCCTTCCAATTACTTTGTAAAGACTGCCCTTTCCCATTCTCAAGTGCCCTTTTTTCACCAGCGTTAAGCCCCCCCAAAAAAAAATATATATATATATATTTTGCCTTTTTTAACAGAATCTGATGATGTAATTAGCCCCCCCCCCTCCCCATTTGATTTTACGAAAGGCCAAGTGTCCGGAGAACAAATTAAAGTGTCTACATGTCAGCACGGATGTGCGAGTACCCTTTTCAAGAAATGTTTACTTTAACACCCCCAGCGATTGCTAGGCCCCTGTAATTCACAAGTTGAGTCGGGGAGTCAGTCAGTCAATAAGTCAGGTACAAAGCGGTGGGCCCCTCTGGGACCAGCACGAATGTCCAGTGTCGTCGGAAACAAGCTCCCCCCCCCCCACACCCACACCCCCACCCACACCCCACCCCACACATTCCCACGCTTTATATGCCTGCTGTTTGCATGAATCTCACAACTTACACTGTAGCCTACAACAACACGTACATGTACATGTATACCACCTCAGAGGGAACGGTGGTTTTCTGGAATATGCAGTACCAAGTAGGCCTACGGATCTGTTGTCCATTCTTATTTACTTAAAAATAATACCCCCAAAATCATGAGAAATACATGGCGTGAACATGACATGAATAGGGTCTACACTTAGTCATATGGTCATATACTGCACTTGGTAACAATTGCACACAATTCAAAGTACAATGCCGGAATATATACAATGTATTCATTGGGCCATGGAGGAACGAAAAGATATATATATGCTCGACGGTAATGTGCGTAGGCCTAGTAAAAGTCACTCAGAAGAAGTCAGTATTCAGTGACCAGTTGTACATACCATACAAACATGAGTATGACACCAATAAGCAGAATCCAAGTCATCGACAAATCCAGCCCTAACAGCTCCATGTTGACCCGCTATTAACAAACTGATGAGTAAAAAAGATTGATCTCAGCTTTTGATATGCAAATCCTCGCACTGTCGCAGCTCAAGGTTTGTGAAAACCAATATGTAGTATATCCTGTACGCGTAGTAGACTGGTTGAACTGAGTTGTCAGTGGTACGCTGGGCATACTGTACTAAGAGAACTGCCAACCGGTGATGTCAACATAGGCGTTCAAAATACAGTTCAAAATACAGTTCAAAGTACTGCCTATGTAGGCCAAAGAACTTTTTACTAAAAAAAAAGAAGATGTTTATATGAAACAGTTCCTTCATCGACATCTTTATCTTACCTTCAGACACACCATTGCGTGTTGTCAGGGCAGACGACCTTTTTTTTCCATAATGTCACGAACGCTTTAATTTTCGGCGCCATAGGAACAATGACTTTGATGACAAAGAAAAAGGGTGAAAAGTTCCCGCTCGTGCCAAAATATTCAAAATAAAATGGTTATCTTCACTTTTAATCTTTCCAACCGGTTTGGTGTGTGACCGGGGATGCCAACCTTTTGAGTCTATCTGATTATCTTCAACTTTTGAAAAGGACCCTGACTGAAGCTTTCACAGAATAATTGATGGAAGAAAATATTTTAATATGGTTAACAAGGGAGCTGGAAATATATTTTCCGCGAGAGAAATACTTCTTCACAACAATTTGGCTGCTGTAGACTGCACAAAACTTCAGCCAGTATCAAAGCAGCACAGAAAACTAAAAAGATTGGTTAAAACACATCACAACGGCGAAGGGGAAGGTCGGAGTTAGGCATTAAGGAAAACTGCAGTTGAAATGGAACAATCCTGTGTGTGAGACTATTCAGACGGAACAATCTGCTTGTGATGGCAATAGCTTGTACCACAAGTTCAAAGTACGCGCTGTGATTGA